GAAAATGAAGAAAAATACAAAGAAGAAAATGAAAATCACTCCTAGAAATAACTATAGTGAACATTACCATCTCTTTTTCAGTGTTTCTATATGTCTTTATCTATTTTTTCTCTTTGTTCTTTGTGTGTGTATGTGTATGTAATCATACACACATATATTGATATATATATAAAATTAATATATATATATTTATGCTTTATCACTTAATAGTTTATCAAGCTATTTTGAATCTTAAGGGAAAAATACAAGTAATAAAATAATCAGAGCATATACAAGATTAAAATGTTTCTTTATCCTTCCTTCCTTTTTCAAAGTTCCACTCTGCAGAGGTTACTGCTTTCAGCCACTTCAGTATCAGGTTTTCCAATTAATGCGCTTAAGTCTCTGTTTCTTAATTTTACCCCAGTAGCTGTTAGGTCTTGCTACAGAAGATGAGAAATCAGCACTGAATTCCTCTCTTTTTTTCTCTTCCCTCTGCTTCCTCACTTTTAAAGTTATATCATCACTGTCTTTCATCTTTTGGTGGGTTCACTTACAACCATAATTCATATTCTGCAAAGTACATTTTATAACGAATCCACTTTGGCAAATGTGCCATAGCTCCCTTCTGTGTAAGATGAGGAAAGAACACACCTCGTTTTCCCTCAGCCTTCCCCCTCATTCCATTAGTTTTACATCATCGAGGTGTATAACACTGATCCTTTGACGTGTAACTATAATTTAGTGTGCTCTATGCTTCATTTTTAAGTTATTTATAAGAATTAAAAACCAAAGACACGAAGTAGTTGGTAAAAGCACAGCCCTGCATTGCACCACCTGGCCCCAAAGTCCAGTTCCGCCCCTTTCTGTCTGGCCTTTTATAGTTTTGGATACATTACTTCCTCTGTGCCTTCCTGTCCTCAAACGTAAAATGGTCATGAAGCAGTATCTACAGGACAGTGTTGTGGTGAACGTGAGAGAGGGTATCTGTCAGGAGTCCGGAACTAACGCACGGCACATAGGAAGTGCTCAGGAATATTATTTCTCGGAGAGCCCTGTGCTGTGAGTGGCCCCGTGAACTGTGAACTACATCTGTGCTGGTCAAGGGAGAATGTTCTAGGAATCAAAGTGAAACAGTTTCCTTCTGTGCATCCTG